CCTGTGGGGGAAAATGTAGGCGAGGTTGCAGGGGACCAACTCACGTCGAGGAGTTGATACCAGACCACAGTCAGTAGCAACAAGCAGATGGCAGAGAGGCAGTTGAAAGGTAAAGAGGTGAGGCATGATCGACCAGGAGGATCACGATCGAAAGAGGAGAGAGGAGGACAAGATAAGGGGAAGGAGAAGATAGATATACAGCCCGGAAAGGAGATTGAGGAAATTCAAATGGTGCAGGGATGCGATGACAGAAAATTCAGGATCGGAAAAGATTTGGGGGAGCCGGTCAGGTCGAAGTTGATCAATTTAATAAGGGAATTTACGGACATCTTCACGTATACAACGGACGAGCTGACAGGGATCGAGGCCAGGGTGATTGAGCACAGACTTAATATTGATCTCAGTTTCAGACCGGTGAAGCAAAAGAGAAGGCATCATGGTGCGGAGATGGACAAAATCATCGAGCAGGAGGTCGACAAGCTGATGAACGCTGGACACATTAAAAAGATTCAGTTCCCCGAGTGGTTATCCAATACAGTAATGGTGTCCAAATCAGGAGGAAAGTGGAGGATGTGCATCGATTTTCGTGATCTAAACAAGGCTTGCCCGAAAGATCTTTACCCGCTGCCAATGATCGACCAGCTGGTAGACTCCACGGCAGGATGCGAGTTGCTTAGCCTGATGGACGCCTCTCAGGGATATCACCAGATCCCCTTGGCAAAAGAAGACTGGAAGAGGGTGAGTTTCATAACAAGCAAGGGCACCTATTGCTATGTAGTCATGCCATTCGGACTAAAGAATGCCGGGGCCACTTACCAACGTCTCGTCGACCAAATTTTCAAAGACCAGTTGGGGAGGAATATGGAGGTGTATGTCGACGACATGCTGGTGAAAAGCAAGAAGGAGGACGACCACGCGGCTGACCTGAGGGAGACCTTCCAGACACTAAGGAGGTTTGGCATGAAGCTCAAACCGGCTAAGTGCTCGTTCGGAGTAAAGTCGGGAAAGTTCTTGGGGTACATGGTGACA